GGCCTAGGAGGGTCGATGGCGACACAGCATGGGGGCGGCCCGGGAGGGAAAGGGTGACACGCCACAGCGAGCCCGAGCTAGAGGGCTGACGCGGTGGAGGCACCAGAGGAGGAAGAAGGAGATGAGGAATGAGGAAGAAGTAAGAGAAGAGGTGGCGTATGGTGGTCAGTGGGGATGATGACATGAGAGAGATCAGGCGGAGAGAGAAGAAGGAAAGAGAGAAAGAGGGGGGGAGGCATTACGGACGTTTCACTCTTATTAACAACCAGCAGAGAAGCTGTTTTTCCATATGCTTTTTAATTAGTAAAGCTAGGGCAAGAAAGAGCCGTTCCATCGAACAAGCTATGTTAAAATATGCCAAATTTAACATATATACGCAGCACCCCTGATTCTTTTTTCCCTACAAGGGCTGAAAAAATCCCTAGCTATTAACCCATAGCAAGCAATGATAATGTGAAATAAATCATCATCATCCAGCAAGAGGAATCTTTGGGAAAGTGGTGTGGATCCCTCTGCTCCCGTGTTCCCTCGTACCTTGTAGTACGTACTGTCTGGTAGCACTGAAACAAATCTCCAAGATATCCAGCAAATCAACTATTAGAATCCACAATAATAATCTATGGAGCCGTTGGTAACAGACTAAGTGGGTGTTTGTTCAATCTTCACCTCCTAAATCTAGTCCCATTTAATTTTATTTAGTTATTTTTTATCTAAATACTTTGACTAAATGAAACTAAATGGGCTTTAGATAACTAATCACACAAATATTATTAAATGGGACTAAACCTCACCTTTTAGTCAGGCTGCCTCACCTTTTAGTCACTTTGAAGCTAAACACCATGACTAAAATAGACTAAAAGGCCTCTTTTAGTCTTTTTTAGTCCACTAAATCAAACAAGGGTGACTAAAGTTTAGAAAATAATTTAGTTGACTAAATTTTAGGAGGTGCAAACCAAACATGCCCTAGCAGTAGGCTTACGCGACTTTGTGTTTTTAACTTTTCAATGTTGTTACCCGCTGTAAGATCATATCCGGTAGCCTCTTCAAAATTGAAGTGCAAATGATAAACATAATGTAATAATATTATTATATATATATTATACGCAAGGCAATACTCACAAAAGAACAACATTCCATTACATCATAGCAAGGCTAATAATATTGGCTGTAAAATTTCTTTGTAGCCTTCTCTCAGCCTACTCATATAATATTTAGCTCATCACTATAAATATATGTCCCACTTGTCTCCCTCACAAACTTTCTTAGTTCTTGTGCCTTAGTCAGCTGTAAGCTTACAGCCCGCTTCTGCTCTCTCCCCTCTTCTTTCTTCTCCACCTTAACATTTAGCCGGCTTACCACCTGCTATTATACTATATACTTGCTCTTATCAACATGTAGGCCCCTTTTGTCATGCAAAGGGTCTTCGTTAAGTGGTCCAATGGGTGGTCATGTCTATTTGCCATGGTCACCTAGCGTGTATAGCATATGTCTTAAATGGTTGTCATCCGAAGGTGGGTCGTTTTGCAATAGTCCATGTACCTGCGCTCAAGGGTGATACTATTTTCGAGTTGCCTGGTGCTAATGCGCATGCACCACGGTTAAATTTTTTTTGACACGCAACAGCTTCACTTCGCCATATATTCTATCAAAAAACTGTGTATATATATGCTATTTTTTTTTTGCGATTGTGCCTAAGTACATTTTTATGCATTCTACTTATATTAAACATGCACCAGGATCAATTCACTTGTAGCTTCGCCACTTACCAAGATATAGGCCATTCTATATATGGCCAAAATGATGAGATCTTGATAGTTTAGATAAATAGAAATTAACATGAAAAAATGTGAAATTTTAATATGACCATAGTAAAGATCAGGTTTACCTACCTATTACTGAAAAAACCACCCAGTTTTACTGGTATTTTTTTTTGCGAACAATTCGGGGAGATCCCCCCTACATTAAATTGAATGAACCAAATTACATATGAGTACAGGAATACTGCAAGCATTGAAATAGAGATTAATGTTAGGGGTTCAACCTCAGTGAATGCAGTCCAAAATGACACTCGGAAACCACCTTCGATGAACTAACCGATTTCACAGGAAATGAACCTTCGGGTCAAAACTTCGTAAGGAGCCAATCGACGAAGGTTGTCTATATCGAAGAAAAGGAATCCCAAGGTTCTATGCAATGACTCGAACCCAAATGAAGACATCACCGGAAGGACGAAGTACACTAAGGAAGTCCTCACCAAACGGAATGAGGGTTTGCGGGAACCTATGAACAAATTTCAAATAACGAGAAGGGCTTTGTGAAGCACAATGAAGGCAAGTGGCACGAAGGTATACGCAAATGAAGATAGAGGATGGCGAAGGTCTGAACAAGTCACTACTAGGAATTTGCACTTACATGACGAACAACTTGTGACAAGAAGGGATAGGCTTGTTATGTAAATGACTAAATTGTCCGTGAATGGAGTGTTGTGTATTTCTAGTTGTAGTAGTGTCAAATGAATGGGTACCTGGGGGAACCATATCGTGCTATAAAAAGATTCTTTTCCCTATAAATACCCCCTAAATTGTACAATACCAAGGGGTGAAGGAGGACCCGATTCACGTTGCCATATCTACTATCTCTCATTCCATTTATAATAGAGTGTTTACACCCCAACATCTGGCCCTCACCGTTTATGTGAGCAAGATACCACCACGACCACGATGGTGTGGCCATCCAAGAAAACAAATCAACCAAGCAATGAAGATTGCGCAAAAAACACCACAAACGAAGATGATACCACAATGGAAAAGCAATTGAGAACGAACCAAGACAGGGGGAAGCTGCAAGATCACAAAAAGCAAAACATGAATGATCAAACAACAACACGAAACCAAAGCAACCAAGAAGAAAGGCTATGCGAACTCGAGGAACAACTCAGTATCAAAAAGAAAGAACTAGAAGCAGCCAAGGCAAGAACAAGAACAAGAATAAAAACACTCAAGCAAAGAATATATAAGAGGCAAAAGCGTCACTTCATCACATCAATGAAGAACTCAAACATGCCAATCCACAAATAGTTCGCTTACAGCGTGTTTAGTTCCCTGAATTTGGAAATTTGGGCTACTGTAGCACGTTAGTTTTTATTTGGCAAATAGTGTTCGATCATGGACTAATTAGGCTCAAAATGTTCGTCTCGTAATTTTCAACCAAACTGTGCAATTAGTTTTTTTTCGTCTACATTTAATGCTTCGTGCACATATCGTAAGATTCGATGTGATAGGTACTGTAGCACTTTTTTTTGAATTTGGGGTAGCATCTAAACACGCGCGCTTAGAAGAACTAGGATCTTCAGAATAGCCAGAGGTGGCGGCTCAGTGCGGCACAAACGCGTGTGTCAGCGGCAGCCTGGTTTGAGCAAGTCCGTGTGCCTTGGTGTAGGGGGCGGCGACGAATGCAAGAGGATAACGACAGGGGGGTAGATGGGAAGATTGAACATGGGACTCATGTTAAGAGGTAACTGCCAGTTGAGGAACTTGTCCTGTATGGTATCTTTTTAGGGCCTGTTTGGTTCCTTGGACCGTAATTTAGTTTCTGTTTCATCGAATGTTTAATATATGCATGGAGTATTAAATATAGACTAAAAAAATAATTAATTACACAGATTGCGACTAATTTGCGAGACGAATTTTTTAAGCCTAATTAGTCCATGATTTGACAATGTGGTGCTACAGTAAATATGTGCTAATGATGGGTTAATTAGGCTTAATAAATTCGTCTCGTAAACTAGTCTCTATCTATATAATTAATTTTATAATTAACTCATGTTTAGTCTTCCTAATTAGCATCAAACATCCAATATGACATGAACTAAACTTTAGTACAGGATCAAACACCCTAGGTGACTTGGCAATATACGAGCCAACAAGATGACTTGACTGCTGAGTGCTTTAAATAAATTTTGTTGGTGATTGTCCACATAGGCTACTCTATGTCTTTTTCTTTTCCTCCTCGTTGGACTGGTCTGTCATGCCCCACTGCTTCATGAGTGGCGAACCTAGGGTCCGATGACCCTAGGCGCCCGCCTCCGGTGTGGGTGCACGCTTAGCTATTTGTCGTATTGCACCCTGTTACAAGCTAACAATACATGATCTCGTCAGTGTCTTGAGCTTCGCCCGAGCTCCATTTGAGCGCTGGGTCCGCTACCGCCGCTCACCATCTTTGTTACCATTTACTGCAATCCGTTCTAACTTCTAAATTCCCCGCATGCCACCACCGTACTTCCTCTTGATGGCACTCTAAGCTCCAAGTTTCCTGAATTGGAAATCTAAGGTGAATCTGAGTTTTACAATTACCACTTTACCAGCATTTGTTGTTGGATTGACAAATCATCTGTGAAAGAAGCACATTTTTATATATAGATGTAAAGAGGATATACAGGTAATGAATGGCAAATCCAATATCTGAAAAAGCAATAGAGTCATCAGACAATTTAAAAGGCAACCGTGGACTAGGAGCACTTTTTAAGGGATCCACCCGTCTCCCCCACCGTTCGTTCGTTCCGTTTCACCATCATTGAATTGAACACTGTCTGTCTCGCTGTCTCCCTCCCTCCCTTCGCATCACAGTCACAATCCATCCGCAGGCCAGCCCTGCCCCCCTTGCTAACGGTTGAGGCGTTGCTGGTACACTGCTGCCGGCCAAGCTGCCCCTGTTCTGTTCCGCGCGAGCATCCCACAGGAAGCAAGGAGGCATACAGCTCTGCTCTCCTCACGCCTCGCCTCACCTCACCTCACCTCACCAAGAGAGGAAACGCCCACGGCTTGCTTTAACCTCCAGCAGTCGTCTCGCCTAGTCGCCTCGTCTCAGTCTCAGAGTAGTAGGAGGGTGGAGGGAGAGGTGGATGGCATGAAGCAACCTGCCAAGAATGAGAGCCTGGGCTGCCCCTGGTAGAAGCAGAGCAAGACCGGGCCACAAGGAGGAGTGGGGAGGAAGAGGGTGAGATGGGCAACTGCGGCACGCGAGAGGAGAATGCCGTCGTCGCCGCGCACGCGCAAGGTATCCATCCTTTCCGGTTTGCGCCTGGGTTTTCTTGGGCGGACTCTTGTCAGTGGTTGCTTGGATTGGATCTCAGGCTGGGCACTTCGAATTGCATCGGAATTTCGTCTTTGCTGGATTATTTCCCAGCTCCTTCCTGGCTTCTCTTTCTCTTGGTTGGTGGGCTCATGGTCACGGTGGATGTGGATTACCAAAAATGCTTTCTTTCTTGGCTTTCTATTGCGATGCCTTTTGGTTTATGTGTAGTTTCGGACTGGCGATTTGGTTGCAAAATTCGATTTTTCTCAGGGTCTAACCCATATCGACATTAGGGATTTAAAGTCACATGCCAATCTTCACTCGAAATGTTTTAATTCTAGTACTTCAGCAGGGGGAGTTTGATGATTTTTTTTTTCATTCCCCCCCTGGAGTCTGGAGATGAACCTAGCCTTAGGACTTTGGTTCTGTTAATCCGAATTTACTAAAGTTTTATGTTCTTTGGTTGAAAGCTTCGTTTAATTCTTCTTGTCACAGTTCAGGTTGTTGGTCTGTGATCTCTTCTATGCTGCATCTTCTTGTCCAGTCGCCGTGCCCTTGTGCTTCATTATCTTCTTGATTTTTTGAAACCTAAAGCCTACTTGAATTGACTGTGTACATTGAGAAAATCTAATGGCACTTTTCCCCACTATTGACTTTCGATTTCACATGGATTAAAAAATTTACGATCCTCCAAGTTGAATAAACATAATCTGCTCTAGTCGGTACTTGCATTTTTAAAGCAATTTGATTTTTCCCCCTGCAACTGTGCAGTAGATCTGGTCCCCTGACCTGTTTACCCTTTGCTTTAATCAATTTGTGCATGTATTATGTCTTTATTGTTTCCATGTTTCCTACTAGTAAGAAAGATAAGTGGTACAGTCCATTAGAAGCTTGTATTTTAGGGGAAATGTCATTTAATGGATGCTAGCAGTTGGAAATTCATTCATTTCTACTTGTTCTCATGTTACTTCTGTAATTTTCAAATAGCAATTGTATTTCAGCATGAGTAATCTAACTTTCATTGAACCCTGTTTGTAAATGCTTAATTCTACACGAATCCTTGAGTCATACATTTTTCTTAGGATATATCCGTGACCTGTACTAGCTAATATAGAACTGAGCGTGAGAATATTTTCTAGTGGATAGCTTTTGGTCCTTTTATCTTATATATATGTGAGAAATCCTTGTTACTTCAATTCTTTAGTTACTTGATGGGCAATAGTTAAACTTCATATTGTCGAGGACTTATATTTCTTTCTTGAATACCATGTTCTCAGTTCAGCAGCTCCACTTGTTGCAACATCCTGACAAGAACGCCCTTGCAGATAAGAAGCACACCCGCTCATCGTCAGATATAAGTGATCCTTCAACACCTAGGAAAATTGAAGATGCCAAGAACATTTCCATATACAACGATGTGATTGCCTTCACATTGTTTGAGCTAGAGACGATCACAAAGAGCTTCCGTGCTGATTATGTTCTTGGTGAAGGAGGATTTGGGACCGTTTATAAAGGTTACATCGATGAGAATGTCAGGGTTGGGCTGAAGTCACTGCCTGTTGCAGTCAAGGTGCTCAATAAAGATGGACATCAAGGGCACAGAGAATGGCTTGTGAGTACCCAAGTTCTTCAGTGATTTTCATGGAAAGTTCCTTTTGTTATATGCATGGCAACATAAAAAATTGTCTATTAATATGTTGTACATGCAACTATGTATGGCACATTCAAGATGGAAATATGTAAATATTGTCAAGTTCATATTGCCAACAAACATGATCACAAGTAAAAACACATACTGAGGGCTACATGCAACTATTGTTTCATTGGCAGTCATGTTTTTGTTTCCATGGCTGTTTGGATTGGTTCTCACTATTTTTTCACAATGTTTTGTCAGGCATCTATTATGAAAAACAGACATGGAAAGTTGATAAGCTTAGGTCATCCATATTTATTCCATTTACAGACATGTGCAGTCTTTGTGTTATGCTTTTAGACAGAGCATATTGTAGTTTTCATGCTTGGGAATTTGAAAATGTTGTAGCACACTTGCTTGGCCAGAATAAGCAACATCACTGAGCAAAGAAACCCGATGTGTTAAGATGGAAATCCATAAGAAATGTGTTTCTTTGAATGCCTAAGCAACTTTGAGTGACTGCTAGTAAAATGCTATTGGGTTATTTTTGCTCATGGTTTTCATAGTAATCATGCTTATGTGAGCCTAGAAAATTATTGTTTCAATACTGTGTTTGGTTCAAAAAAATATTGAAAATGTTTACGCATCTTTTCTTTTCTTTTTTTGTCAGACTGAGGTTAACTTCCTGGGGCAGTTAAGGCATCCAAATTTGGTGAAGTTGATTGGATATTGCTGTGAGGATGATCATCGGCTGCTTGTCTATGAGTTCATGTTTCGTGGAAGTCTAGAAAATCACTTATTCCGAAGTAATCCTCTACTCCTTATTGTCAGATTGTGTACGGTATCATAACTGAGTTTCTGTAATGCCACTTTTTACATACTATCTTCTGTTTTCTTGAATGTTGTCCACTGATCTCAACACCTTGAGCTCATAAAATGTTGCTGATAGAGTTATACTTCATTTTCATAACTATTGCCGGTATGATCTAACTTCTCTAACTGGCAGATGGTTAGGCATATTTATTTGTCTACCAAAAACTGATTCATTATTTTTGGTACTTTTTTACATGCTATTTCCAAAATAACCACCAAGCATCCAACTCTTTAACTTTCTTATGACTCACTCAACATCCTGGATGATTACTTGCTTGGTAAACTGTTGATTTTGATTAATTACAGGTGGTATATACTACCTTAGCTGGTGACCATCTATTTTTCTGGCTTCTGTATTTAGCTTTTTAGGCAGCTTCCCAATCTGAACTTATGACTTCTTGTCATTTCCGCTGAAAGATATTTTACATTTGCACACTACCACACGTTGTTGATTTCTTCTGCATCTGTTGATTTTTGTCGTGCTTCTTTAATTAGGTACTATAGCTTCTACTTGCTACATTTCTTGATGCTTTTACAAATTGGCAATGTCCCCAACTAAAAGAGAAATAATTGAATGCTTCCCACTGCTAGAATGTACGATATATAGTGTGCCAGTATGCTATTTTCCTTGATTCATTCACAACAAACTGCTACTTGAGAGGAAGGAGATTTTGCTGACAACATATCCTATTTTTCATGTTCTCAGAGACAGCTACACCATTACCCTGGGGTACTAGAATGTCAATTGCACTGGGAGCTGCTAAAGGGCTTGCTTGCCTCCACAATGCTCAAAGGCCTGTAATCTACAGAGATTTCAAGACCTCAAATATTCTGCTGGACTCTGTTGAGTGTTAATTGCTTGCTCATGCTTTCTTATCCCATTTCAGTTTTAAGAGAACATATGTGTATGAGATAATGACTTCTTTTTATTTCCATGGCTACAGGATTATACTGCTAAACTATCTGACTTTGGTCTGGCAAAAGCTGGCCCCGAAGGTGATGAGACTCATGTGTCAACGAGGGTGATGGGAACCTATGGATATGCTGCCCCTGAATATGTGATGACTGGTACTTTCCTCATTGTTTCTATATGTTTAGTAATTTCATTCTTTTTTAGAAGATATCATTGTTTCAGATATAAACTTCTGCATGTCAAATTGCAGACATAAAACTATTGTTTCTACTCATGAGCTGAGATCGCATATATTGCCATTCCCTGCTTCTTTCAGTTTTTTGATATTACTTCATAGCAGCAAAACTTATAGTCACAGAAAAGTATTATTTGTAATGCATGATCTGATGTCACATATAGATTGTTCGCTGCTTGTTTCAGCATTTGTACAGCAAACTATGGCCAAAACCTACACATGTATGTACTATTTGTCTGTGTTCATTTGTTGTTCTCATGTATATAGCTGGTGTGCAGGTCACTTGACTGCTAGAAGTGATGTCTACAGCTTGGCAAGGTCCTTCTGGAGCTCTTGACAGGGCGCAAGTCAATTGACAAGTCACGGCCCAGCAGGGAGCAGAGCCTAGTTGACTGGGCCCTCCCAAGCTCAATGACAAGAGGAGGCTTCTCCAAATAATCGACCCCGAAACTGGAGGGACAGTATTCGATCAGAGCGGCTCACAAAGCCTGCAGCCTTGCATTCTACTGCTTGAGCCATAACCCCAAGGCAAGGCCACTAATGAGTGACGCGTGTCGAGACCCTGGAGCCACTGCAGGGCGGTGGCGGTAGCGCACGAGCTGGCCAATCTTCTGGCCTTCCTGACTATAGAGCTCGACGCAGGCTAACAGGGAACAACGTCCACTTCAGGGCCATCCCAAACCCCAAGTGCTCCCCTGCTGTCCCGGTTTGCAGAGTGCGGTGATGGTCGCCGCCAACGGTGCTGTTTCAGTTGCTGCTGGAATAGGTTCGGTTGTATATTAGAGAGTCTAAACCATGGGTGATGTGTGCGCCTGTTCTGCGCTGCTGTGTGTGTTTGAGTTTTTGTTTTGGAGGTTTTTGGCCAGCGTTTTGAAATGTAAATTTGATCTGCATGCTGGTGCTTGTAAGGCCCGCTAATTTTCACAGTGGTCTTATGTATCCTTGTCTCCTTGACTGAGTAAGCCCTGCCAAAACAGGCGGGGTTTAAGTTTAACCCTAGAAATGAAAGGCCGAACTAGGACCTGTTGGATGGTTGATCTGCTATCTGGTGTGCTGTCCATATTTCAGGAACCAGTTTGTGTTGAATTCCTTGACAGTCCTCTCTTATTTGGCACCCTGCCATGCGCCCATGCCACAGGGAAGAATGACGATTCTAGTCAAAAGTAATTATTTGTCATCGAAATTGTAGTTGTATGATCTTTTGATGCATTGTGCAATTGTGTAAGGCCTGACATCTCTTCTGCTAACCTGTGCTAGGAACTGGGATCTTGATCTGGATGGCTGCCGGTCAGTGGGTTTTCTTGGTCCTGTTTTTCAGACTTTACCAGTTTGCAGATACGTAGTTATGTTTTCATGCGTCTATCTACACAAACACAATGAATAGGAATTCTGAAAAAATTATTAATGAGTATGGTTGCCTGCATCTGTTATCTTTGGTAGGTGCAGAGGCTCTAGTGTACCTTCATTATCATCTAAAAAAATGCTGAAAATGCACAGAAAGTAAAAGGCTTGATGATGGGATGGAGATGAATCATTATTGTCTGGGCTTGTTATAACCGAAGTCCACCGTGCAAGTAGTGCTTCTTGTTATTTCTTTTATCTTTTATAGATGCTACGTTTCTTAAATATGTCGATTTTGATGAACAAATATGCTGCATCTGGATGGGTCTGTACTCTTTACAGATGATTGGATCACGCTCTGCCGTCTGAGCAAATAATTAGCCTATACACTGTAGTAGTATTAATGTCAGAAACTAAATGGGCAGGAACAATCAGATCAGAGAACGCAGCTTCCTGCATTCAATTGTTTAACATTCAAATTATTTCTTGATGTCAAATATAGTAAAAATGAAGCATAATTTAATTTGAGAGGTTAAAAAAATAAATATAGAGAAATAGCTTTTTGATGTTGGCTATAAGTGACTGAATCTTAAATCTTAAACTTTATATAAGGAGATTAATTTAGAGTTTAATACTATGTAATGATAAATGCTCATAAAAGAGTAGAATATAAACATCATAATCATCTGCGTGTCTAGTCTAATGGAGATAATCGAGATAAATAAAGCAATAAAAGGATACGTACGCAGGTCGTTGACAGTGGAAACACAAACACTCATAAACTACCGATGATCATGATTTGAGAGCAACCCTGTTCATTTTCCAATTGTAACCAAGTCTGACACGCATCGCCAACACGAGATGATACATCGGCTAGAATCCACGCCAGTCAAGAAAGATGGCTAATGTTATTTTTCCACTCAAGAGAAAAAGAAAAGTTCAATTTCGTGTATGTAGCAACTAAGACGCTGCTGCTTCAGATTAAAATCTTTCCCGCCAATACGATAATTTTTTTTTCTCATCCTATTTTCCACGGGAGAGAGGAGAGTCAATTTGTTTTCTCACAGGAGATTTTTCCGATCCGATTTTTCGCTGTTGATGGCACTGTTCCTGTCCCGCTAATAACTCCAGTTTGGCCCGTCCTAAATTTGCTACGGGAATTTTCACGAGAGCTGATTCGATTTCGATGCGTTTTTCCACAGTTGACTGTGTTCCCATTTAGCTACAGGATGTTTCACGCGATAATATGATTTCGATTTGCCAATTCCAGTAGCGGCCGTTTCAATTTTGCTACGGGTTTTTCTAGTGATCTCGACGGAGAATTTTCTCATCGGAAAACATAGCTCTCCATCCCTATCTACATGGGGGTATTAATCGACGCAGAAGCTAGAATATTAATATATTTCCTTTTTTAAAAAAAATCTACGTGGAGATAAAAAAAATCCGTCCACGTCTGTGCAAATGCTCGCGGGAGGTTCTCCTCCCATCCCTTCCAGCACGTGGAATTTTATCCCTGCGCCGAGTTCAACCTCATTAGGAAATACAGCATTTGAACGAGTAAGATTTCATATTATATTATAAGAGGCATCTAGTTTAGTGTATAATTTGCTATTTACACTAGGCTATTTGTGGAACTTTTGGTGGGATTTTTAACTTTTTATCATTCTTACATATGGCATTCCTCCGTTTGCCTGTTTTATGCGCGCTCCTTCATAATTGCCATCACAAACAGTGAAACTCATACGCTTTTATCATTTTCGCTAATGTGGCACGCCAGGTGGGCATGCCAGCGTGGCAGCGAGCCTGGAAGCCCTCACTTAGCACGGGAAATGACCTATTTACCCATGCTGCTGCTCTCCCTCTACTCTCTGACGTGTGGGCCCCACATGTCAGCTTCATCCTCAACCTCCAGTCATCACCACGCAACGAGGAGAGGGGAGGAGCTCGTGAAAACTACATGCCGCCGATCGGCCAGCTCGAGGTGCTTCGATTCGATCCATGTTAATCTCGGCCGCCCATCTTATCTTGAGACAACGGCAACCAATAACTTGCGGGTTCGCGTAGCCCGCAGCAGGCCGGCCGGGCATGCATGAGCGACGGCTATCTGCCTGACAAGATCTCGGCCTGAAGCTGGGTCCGGGAGTGAGTTGGCCATGTCGAGACCGGCCGGGCATACACCGAATCGACAAAGCAATTTAGCCCAACCACCACCGTTAGATCGGCTACCCAAACAAGGCCAAGGGCGGATTCAACGGTGGGGGGGGGGCTCGAGCCCCCCCTACCGATACCGGAGCAATGGAGCCCCTGGAGCCCCATGAATATTTAGGCAAAGTTCTATCATGTAGGTGGGGCTGAGACTTAAGATGGAGCAACAGTCAGAGGTACGTTGCTGTCGCACTTTTGTTCAGCCCCCTCTAAATTTTTTCCTGGATCCGCCGCTGATCATTGTCATTCTCGTGTGACCTGTGAGAGGCAGGACACATGAACAATGATGTGTGTGCATGTTTCCGGCTCTAGACAACTAGAAGCAGCGGCGGATTCAACAGGGGGGGCTCGAGCCCCCCCTACCGGCAATACCGAGCCCCTGAAGCGCCCTGAGCCCCCATGAATTTTTAGGCAAAGTTCTATCGTGTAGGTGGGGATGAGACTTATGATCGAAAGCAGCAATGGAGGTATGTTGTCACGCACTTTTGTTCAAATGCACCCCCCTAAATTTTTCCTGGATCCGCCGCTGAACGACGCCAATGCAAACAAGTAGCTAGATAGCTAGCTTGTCCGGTCCCTGGCTTGCCGCAGCGCACCTGCATCTTCTTCGAGGTTCGACTCGCGCGGCGCACCGCTGGCTGGCTGCCCGTCTATAAAAGGAGGCACCGCAGCACCGTCCGGCCCATATCTATCACTTCGATCCATCGCTTCTTCCACAACACGAACATGTACGTACGTAGCTAGTGCAGAGTAACTATCACCAAATAAAACCAGAGAGTAGTAGTGCTAGCAGGCCGATGGCTAGCTCCACCGAGATGACCATGATGAAGCAACAGCTTGCCAAGCTAGCAGGCGTGGTGGCGTTGCTGGCACTGCTAGCTCTGCTGGAGCCGACGTCAAGTTCACCACCGACGACCTCAACTCCGAGGCGTTGCTGTGGGGGCTTTACCTGCGGTGGGGTGCGCGCTACAATGTAGAACACGACCCCGTGGAGAAGCTCCGCCGATTCGACACGTTCAAGGAGACGGCGCACCGCGTCTCCTCTGGTGCTGGAGTCATAGGCCATGCTCCGGGTCTGAACGCCTTCATCGACTTGAGCTCGCTTGAATCGCAGGCTCAGGCGCACTCCAGGCCAGGCTGTGGAGGCATAGGAGGCCAGGCTACGACCGGGACTCCGCACGAGCTCCTCCCCTCCCCTCGCTGCGTGGGACTCCGCACGAGCTCCTCCTCTCCCTTCGCTGCGTGGTGATGGCCGGAGGTTGAAGATGAAGCTGACATATGGGACCCACACGTCATAGAGTAGAGGGAGAGAAACACCATGGGTAAATAGGTTATTTCCCATGCCAAGTTAGGACTCCCAGCCTCGCTGTCACGCTGGCATGTCCACATGGCGTGCCACATCAGCGAAAGTGGTAAAAGCGTAGGAGGTTCACTGTTTACGATGACAATTGTGTAGTGGCACATACAAAACTGACAAACAAAGGAGTGCCATCCGTAAGAATGGTAAAAAGTTTAAAATCCCGGATTTTAATAGACGTAGGGTATAATTCGTAGTAAAAGCATTTCACGGGTTGGGTATATGGAGAACGGGACTAATTTTTTTCCCATATCAATCCTCATAGAGACTAAATCAGCCAGCTCTAAAAGACTCTCTAAATCCTTTTTAATTGCTAGAAATAGAGATTTTGATGAAAAAAATACCTTTCAACATAATCTTTAATTGGTTATCCAATTTAGTCATCTTCTATTCTGGATTTCTCGCTAGTCAAAGATAGAAAACGAGAATGACTC